GCGGACGTCTCCGGGGCGCACGTCCTTCCGGCGACGTCACTCCTCCCCGCCGGCCTGACTTCCTCGTGGGTCGCCCGGCGCGGCTGCAAGAGGTGAGCCCTTTCGTGCAGCGTCCGGACCTGGGAGAAGGGACGCGGCGGATGGCTTCGGAAGTGGCGTAGAGAAGCCGGAGAGGAAGGTTCGCTTCCCTGCCGGGCGGGCGGGCGGGCCGCGGCGAAGTAGGCCGGGGAGCGTTTCTGGATTGTTCCCAGTGTAACTTTTAAAGCCGAATGCTTTAAAACATTCTTTGCTGGCCTGAGACCCCATGCTCCCCTCGGCTCAAGTGCAGTTTCTGTGTCGAGTCGAATGTATTTCGCGTTTCTTCACCCATTTCCGGCGCATTCACTACAAACTCGGCTTATAACTTGCTTGCCGCCCTCCCCCATAGTCCCTTTTGTGGACCGGATATACACAGCGCACAATCCATAGTAACTTTAGGACGAGGAGAGTACTCGGGAGCTTCCAGAAGTGGTTTCTAACCCGGCCTGTTGGGGGGAGGCCCCAGTTGGACATAGGCAAAAATCCACTGCATCTAGATGAAACTGCCCTTTGAATCCCAGAGACAGTAAATAATGGGAGCAGATAACCTCATCCTCCTCCCAAAATTTCGAACTACCGACCTTTTGGTGAACAGCCCATTATTAACTCATTAAGTTATAGACTTAGAGTTCTCTGGAGACAGGTATGTCGGATTCCAGGTGGCCGGGTCACCATGTGCTGAGGCTGAGGCTGAGGCTCCGTTGACAATTCAGAGCTGCTGGGATGTGGTTCGGGACTAGGGTGGCAGTAGATGAGACTTAGGAGAATCAGGTGGGTCAAGGATGCCAAGCCACCTGGTTCATATGTACTCGAGTTCAGACCGTAATATTTGGCCATGAATTACTTTTTGGAAAGAACACCATGGAGACAGTTTAGAATGAGATGTAATTGGAGATTTGGAGATAGCTTGGCTTTTGCTGATCCTTTTACTATTTAGCTGTTAAAATAATAAATGCTAAATGACACCACCAAGCTTTAGTTTCTTCATCAGTAAATTGGGAATAATTCCTATGGTGTTTTTAGAATTTAGGACTGTAATTTTTTTCCATTCTGATTATTTTCCTGGTTCACCAAAATATGAAATTTTGTATTCTGCAAATGGATAACTCAGTAGTGTCCTTTTTCTTTTCATTTTGTTGTCAAGATAGATACCGTTTCTGTATGTACAATTTAGTAACTCCAATTACATTTTTGAATTGTGCATCCATTCCTTATTTTTTAATTGTTTTGCCTCATTAACATCAACTCACTGTGCTCTAGCATATTTCTTTCTTTTTTTCCTTTTTATCATTTTATTAGGGGCTCATACAACTGTTATCCCAATCCATACACACATCAATTGTGTAAAGCGCATTTGTACATCGTTTCTCAAAACATTTTCTCTCCATTTAACCCCCCGACATTAGGTCCTCATTTTTCCCCTCCCTTCCCGCTCCCCCCTCCCGCATGAGCCCTTTATAGTTTATAAATGGGTATTTTGTCATATCTTGCTCTAGCATATTTCAAGTTGTAGTTATCAATTTAGTTATCAATAAAAATAATTTGTAAAGGAGTCTAATGCTCAAGGAGGAGCTTGTTTTTCCTACTAGATTAAGCTAAATTATTATTTGGTTATACAAAGACTTCGTGGCATATTTTTGGTTTGTTTTGAAGATTATCTCAGCAGTAGTTTCAGGGTTTCATCCACCCTCATGCTTCCAGAAAATCCAGGTTCTCTGGAAATTTGAAATCCTGTGCATTCCCCTTTTTCATTAGGATTCTTCCATGGAATCTTTGATCAATGTGTTCAGTAATTTGTAGCTGGGCATCTTCCTGTTCGTGTGGTTTCATGGCAAATGAGGCAGTTGCTCATGGAGGCAAGTAGCCACACATGCTATTACCGTCTCCTGTACTTGACTGTCTTCTTCCTTCCTCTCTTGTTCCAGGTGAATAGAGACCAATTGTTGTGCCTTGGAACTTTGAGCAATTTCATCTTAAGAAATAAGGCTGGCCATTTCGTTGGCGCCTGGAGTAGCCGTGGCACCTGTAAGAGCCGAGGCAGAGGAGAAGACCCATTTGTGCTTAATAGTTTGGAGCCTCACCACCGGTAGAACAAGATTTTGAAATGCATCGTGATTCCTGCCCATTGGACTGTAAAGTGTACGTAGGTAACCTCGGAAACAATGGCAGCAAAACCGAATTGGAACGGGCTTTTGGCTATTATGGCCCACTCGTCAGTGTGTGGGTTGCCAGAAACCCTCCCGGCTTTGCTTTTGTGGAATTTGAAGACCCTCGGGATGCAGCCGATGCGGTTCGAGAGCTCGATGGAAGAACACTGTGTGGCTGCCGTGTAAGAGTAGAGCTGTCCAATGGGGAAAAAAGAAGTCGGAATCGCGGCCCCCCTCACCCTTGGCGACGGAGTCATCAGGATGATTATTGGAGAAGAAGTCCTCCGCCTCGCCGAAGATCTCTGAGGAAGAGAAGCTTCTCTCGCAGCCGGAGCAGGTCCCTTTCTAGAGATAGGAGAAGAGAGAGGTCATCGTCTCGGGAGAGAAATCGCAAGCCATCCCGATCCTACTCTAGGTCTCGCAGCCGATCTAGGTCAAATGAAAGAAAATAAGATGGGTTTGCAAGCGGGGTGTAGTGTGTACAAGAAATACCATCATATGACAGTAGTGTACAGAAAGTTCACGTTTGGTTTCAGACTTAAGAAGCCTTGGTGCGTTTTTAAGATGTTTAGCTGTTTGAATTTGTTTATTGCCTCTTTTAATAATGACACTTGAAGATGTATTTCTCTGTGGTTTGAAAGGGATCATATGAGGCATGTAATACCAAGATTTTATTACTTGACAGTGGCTCTGTACACAGAATTGAATTTGCTTTGAATTTCGGTTAGTCTTGCATAAGACTGCTAATAAACCTCTAAATCTTGCCCTCCTAAACTGTGATGTTTTAATAATGAGGAAGCAAAATTGGCAAAGGTTGAACTAAGAACTTTTTGGGAGGTTCGTGGCTGGGATAAAGGATGCACCGGTAGTTGAATAAGCAGCCTGAGAGCATCTGAGAACATAGAAGCCTCCAGATAAAAGTAGCTGCACCAATAAACTTGAGGTTTTAAAAAGCCAGCCTAGGCTTCAACAGTGTGCAGAAGTGAGATGGTTTAGAATCTGTTAGGTTTAAGGAGTTAATCTTTCACTTAAGGTCTTAAATGGGTTGGGATTTCTGTATACAGAAAGATAATTTTGACACATTTGGAAAATGGAGTTACTGTGCAAGATTGTTTTCATGTCATTTGTAATATGTTTTACGAAAGTCGTTGGGATTAAAGTTTAGGTTTCTAAATTGAGAAAAAACATGCCTGCTAACTGCTCATTATATTGTAAGGAATAATTTCATGTTTATATATTAAATTTTGTTCATCTCAAGATTTTGTAATTAGTTTTGAAAGAAGAAATATTAAATTCTATGCATTCATTAGTAAATAAATCTCAGGTGTTCAATTTTAATCACTTAAAACATTTCAGTTCAAAGAAAAACATGATGTACAGTTTTAAAAATGTAATACGGACCTCACCTTAAATTCAGAACAAGATAACAAGGATCTAGATAAACTGTTCCTAATACTGTTCCAATTTCAATGATAACTTTTTTCCTGACTACATTTTTCAATAAAGTTTGTTTCTAAATGTATGTCTTATTGTCAAGAATTCTTAATTTTACCTCAGTTTCCACCTACAAACCAAAAGATAATTCTGGTTAGTTGTTCACTCTGAAATCTTACTATAGCTTTCTTTGAAGGTTTTAGAGTTCTCAAAATTAATTTGACATATGCCCATTGTCATTAGAAAAGTAATATTTTATATCATCCTTAGCTAGTACATCAAGTGTTTTACATCTTAGCTAGCTTGCTAACATGGTGTTAAAACTGTTCAATCTTGTTGAACTATCCAATATAGGTTTTGTAAATTATTGTCCAAGTATTTGGTAGGCAATGTCAGAATGCTAACTATCCTTTGTTGCATCTTTAATAACTAATTGAAATGTGTGCAGCATACTTTATAGCAATGTCTTTTTTTTATAATCCTTGTCATCTTCGCCACACTGATGGCTAATAGCTGTACAAGTACATTTGGTCTTCAAAATCGTCATTTTGCCCTGTCTTTTCTGAGCAACAATTTAATCGTTTTAGAGCCATTTGTGGTTACACCATTGATTTTATAAGTCAAGAAATTCTGTTATACTTTAAAATTTAATTTTTTTAATGCATGTGTCTTAATTCTTTTATTCCTAGTGTCAACAGATAAATCTTAACTGTTTTGTGTAGATTTATTACAAGAATTAACTATTAATTCCTGGAATTGACAGTCTATTGGTAACTAAAAAAGAACCTCTCATCAGATTGGTGCCAACTCATAGCGAACCTATAGGATGGGACAGCTGCCTCTATGCATTTCTGAGGTTGTAACTCTATAGGAGAAAGCCCCGTCTTTCTGCAGAGTAGCTGGTGGTTTTGAACTGTTGACCTTGCAGTTAGTAGATGAATGAGCAAATTACTACACCACCAGGCTCATACTGGCAATATCCATTATCAAAGTCAGTTTTCCATATTACTAATTTTGGAACTAAATTTTAAGGACTAAAACTCTGAATTGATCGAAGTAATAATTGGATTTAGAATTTTACAGAATATTGAAGATTCAGTGAACTAATTCAACACATGCAGCAATAATTGTTCAGCTAATCTCACTTTAAGGCATTCTGGAAGGGAAAAGTTGTCTTAACGTTTCTGTTGCTTACTGAAAACACTTCTGACATTTTCTTCGATCTTTGTGTTTTTGCCCTGCAATGTTTTCATCTGTATGGTGGTACCTCAGGTTTCTATCTAAACTTGCTGTATGGACTTCAACCATCTGTGTTAAAAACTTATGTGTACTTCCCACAGTCTTTACATTTTTGAAATTTTGGGGGGGTCATGAATTTTTTCTGGTTCTTCCCACACCAGAACTCAAGGTATAAGAAATAATATAAGCACTAGGAAATGGCACTATGAACTTGCACTAGTATGTACTTGTATGAACCTACTAGCCTCTCTGCTGGCAAAGATGTGGCCATTTTTTTCCATAAAGGTTTGTGGACTTAGAAACTATGGGAGTCATTCTACTCATAGGGTTGCAGTGGGTTTGGGTTTTTTATATTAGATTGCAGGAAAAACAAGTCATAGACCTTAACATAAAGAGACTAGAATGCACAACTGCACAAATGTAGAAATGGATTACAGCTAGCACAGATGAAAATGTTTCTACCTTGTATATTAGAAAACCCAAGTAACGAGGTGACATGCGAAATTTGCCGATTTCTTCTACTTGAAGTCCCAGAACCTTTTGAAGAAAGCGCCTGCTGGGGAACCCACCGCAATGATTTACATATAACACCCTCCCTGGGGGTATGCACAACAGAAAAGGGAGTGAAGGGAGACATCAGTCAGTGTAACATGAAAAAAAATTTATAAATTTTCGAGGGTTTATGAAGGTGGGATAGGGAAGGGGGGGAATGAGCTGATACCAAAGGCTCAAGTAGAAAGAGAATGTTTTGAAACAATGGCAACAAATGTGCCTGACACAATGGTTGGATATATGAATTGTGATAGCTGTCTGAGCCCCAATAAAATGATTTTAAAAAAAAAATGAGGAAAAAAGAAAGCTCTCGCTTTTTAGTGATAGACATCAAGTTGTTCTCTGTGAAATAATATGTTGCAATTAAAACATTAATTTTCTTCCAGCTGGTTGTTGATCGTTGTTAACATTTTAGCTCGTGAGGTACATATCATATTTAAGTACAAAAAAATCTGTGGCAGTATGTTTAAATAAAGATTGAATATAAGAATAGAACCATAATGTATGCTATTGTCTGCTTCTTGAATTTAAATATCATGTGAATATTGTACATTTAACATAAACAACTGGGCCGATAGGTAACATTATAATAAATGGAGAAAAGATTGAATTTGTCAAGGATTTTGTCTTGCTTGGATTCACAATCAGTGCTCATGGAAGCTGCAGTGAAGCGATAAAAGACATTTTCCATTAAGTAAATCTGCTCCACAAGATCTCTTCAGAGTATTGGAAAGCAAAGACATTACTTTGAGGACTAAGGTGTGCCTGACTCAAGCCATGATATTCTCCATTGCATCATATGCATATGTAAGTTGAAAATTGTATAAGGAAGATCAAAGGATCGATGTGTTTGAATTGTGGTGCTGGTAAACAATATTGAAAGTACCATGGACGGTCAAAAGAACAAACAAGTCTGTCTTGGAAGAAGTACTGCCAGAGTGCTCCTTAGAGACAAGGATAGTGAGATTTCATCGTACATACTTCGGATATGTTAGAAGAGACCAATCCTTGGGGGCATCATACTTGGTAGAGGGGCAGCAAAAAAGAAAGATTTTCAACAAGATGGCTGAAACAGTGGGCTCAAACACAGGAACGGTTGTGAGGATGATGCAGGACCGGGCAGTGTTTCACTCTGTTGTGCTTATTGGTCACTATTGGTCAGAATGAACTTGATGGCACCTGACAACAACATTATATGAAGCACATTTTTCAGGGCCAAGAAAGATACAAATGGAAATTCATTTCCTCAAAGTAATCACTGAAATTCCAAATTAGTTCTACTATGTTAACCTCAAGCCACTGTCCCGATAACAAAAAAGAAGAAACCCAGGTTAACAACTGAAACTGGTTACACGGGATTGAATGTAATTTCTAGCACGGAGTTGATCTGAGATTTAATTTACTGGGTACAGAATCTCATTTTACCACTTAATTTACATTCATTTTACCAACCTGTTCTGTGCTCATCAAATAGCATGTGGTACAATAAGTGATTGTTTGTATATTAGACAGGAATTATATAAGGGAACTTTTACTATCACATATGATCCCCCAATTTCAGAGAAGGTTTTAGTTTGTTCAAGGTGTCAGATTCTTGGGCTCAATAAAACCCTAACAGGGAAGCACCATGGGGCTTTGCACAGAACGCTCCTTAGACAAGGTGAGCCTGGAGGCATTGCAGGCAGCCCGAGCCTATGGCCCATCCTCTAAACCAGTTTATCCTGATAGGGGAGTCTTTCATGGTCTTCACAACCGGTAACCATCTTATTGGCTTTAAAAACTTACAGCATAGTAATTTACACACACAAAAAAGGCAATCATCTTTTCTCACAAACAGATGACAGCAACAATAACAACAAAAACCTTGGAAGAGATAGCCAGAACCCTTAACATTAGCACTGTGTGTGTGTGTGTGTGTGTGTTTAGTGGCTGCAGTGGGTAAAGACAAATTCTTTTAAGGGAGTGTGGGTGGATAGGAAAAAAACAACAACCCAAACCGTAGGCCAGAGTTCAGTACATACAATTTCTCTTGAACGTTGTTAGGTGCTGTTGGGTTGGCTCTGACTCATAGCAACCCCTGGCACAACAGAAGGACACATTGCACAGTCCTGTGCCATCCTCAGGATTGTCCCTATGCTTAATCCATTGATAGAACCACTTGCCAATCCATCTTGCCAAGGACTTTCCTGTTTCTCCCCACTCCTCCACTTTACCAAACTTGGTGTCCTTCTCCAGGGACTGGTCTTTCCTGATAATTTGTCCAAAATATGTGAAATGAAGTCTTGTCATCCTTGCCTCTAAAGAGCACGCTGGCCTTACTTCTACCAATACAGATTGGTTTGTCCTTTTATCAGTCCGTGGTACTATCAGTATCCTTTTGCACCACCATAATTCAGATACACTGATTCTTCTCCAGTTTTTCTATTCAATGTTTAAGTGTCATGCATATGAGGCAATGGAAAATACTATGGCTTGGGTCAGGTGCACCTTAGTCCTCAAAGTAACATCCTTGCTTTTCACTACTTTAAGCAGGTCTTGTGCAGCAGGTTTACCTAATACAATATGTCTTTTGTTCTCTTTGACTGCTGCTTCCATGGACATTGATTGTGGATCCAAGCAAGACATAATCCTTGACAACTTTAACCTTTTCTCCATTTATCATAACCTTACTTATTGGTCCAGTTGTGAAGATTTTGGTCTTCCTGACATAGATTGACTTGTAATCCACACCAAAGGCTGGAATCCTTGATTTTCATCAGCAAGAGCTTCAAGTCCTCCTCACTTTCAGCCAGCAAGGTTGTGTCATCTGCAGAACACAGGTTATTAATAAGCCTTCCTCCAAACCTGATGCCACACTCTTCATGTAGCCTAGCTTTTCTGATGATTTTCTCAGCATATGGATTGAACAAGTATGGTGGAAGGACACAACCCTGACGCACACCTTTCTACTATGCAGTATTCCCATGTTCTGTTCGCTCAACTGCCTCTTGATCCATGTACACGTCCCTCATGAGCACAATGAAGTGTTCTGGAATTCCCGTTCTTCTCGAGGTTATGCACACTTTGTTATGGTCACCCAATTGAATACCTTTGCACAGTCAATGAAACACAAGTAAATATCTTTCTGGTATTCTCTGCTTTGAACCAAAATCCATCTGGGATCAGCAATGATATCCTTTGTTCCACATCCTCTTCTGAATATGGCAATTCCCTGACAATGTACCACTGCAACCGGTGTTGGATGATCTTCAGCAAAATTTTACTTGTGTACAATATCAATGATAACATTCTAGTTGA